GGTATTTTGGTCTAATATTAATTATTTCCTAAAATCCAATACATATTAGTTGAGTTTCTAAAGTCATATGCAAATATGAAGAACGACACTTATTTCGAACCAAAATTCATATTCTTTCGATTTCTGACTCGAAAATAAATTTGGTCAAAAAGTCAAAGATGGGTATATTCGTCAAATTTAATTCCACAAGACCAACTCTTGAGTATAAAAAAAAAAAGTTGGCATAAAGAATAATTATTAGGTAAAATTACAATCAAGCAATATGGATGGAGGTGATTTAAAGTTTGTTGAATCAATGGGTAGCTAAATTTGGTATTGTCAAGAAACCAGGATTCTCACAAGTGTTGATTTTTGTACAAGTGGTTTTATCAAAGTGGAGACACTCATTATTTTGTTGATTAAGATTTGTCTCATAAATTATGTTTTAAAATATGAATGTATATATATAATTGGGACTATGATGTATGTATACGTGATGATTATAACATTATTATTGTACTACTATTATACATGTATTAGTATTACAATATATATGGGTAAATTATGTTCCATCTATGAGGTCATGTTAAATTACGAAAATACCCCTTATGTTTTCGTAATTACAAACATCCCATCAACTATGAATCTTGTTAAACTTCTACCGTTGTGCAGTATTAAATTTAATAGAATCTTCTAAATTATGTGGAATATTCTCCAGTTTGTACTCGTTTCATCCCATTCGAGCTCCACATTTTGAAACAAGATGTATCTCTTGGTTTGTAAATACCAGATTGTGGTGCATCAAAAACTGCATTTTTTCACAAAACGAGTATAAACTGTAGAACATTCCACGAAATGTAAAATTTTTTATATTGAATTTGACACTATAAAGGTGCACGTGTAAAAACATTCATAGTTGAGGGATTAATTGTAATTATTCACATTTTTCTTCGTAATTTGACATTTTCTCAAAGGGTGACCGTAATTTGTTATATATATATATATATATATATATATATATATATATATATATATATATATATATATATATATTGGGTTTATGTCAAAATCGAAAGCAATTATGTATAGTGTTGTTAAGAGAAAGGAATAATTATGCCTTTCCCACTTGAAACATTTACCAAAAAATATGTAACATATTTTGTGGATTAGGCCAAAGTATTATTGATCTGTCAATATTGTCATAATTTTTTTATTATTGTTATTTATTTATTTATTTATTTTTGATAAAATAACGGTTGTCACAAGTCACTTATATGTTTTGATGGCTCAAAACATGACAAATTTAGCTTATAAAATTTAATAAATATAATAATAAAGATTCTCTTATTATAGAGTCCTAATGAGATTGTCACTATACTTATATCTGTATAATAATAATAATAATAATAATAATAATAATAATAATAATAATAATAATAATAATAATAATAATAATAATAATAATAATAATAATAATAATAATAATAAATCTTGAAAAACAATTGGGACAAGCTGAAAAGGAGGTTTCACTAACTTGTTTTTTATGAATAATGATTACCAACCTTTGAATTAATTAATAATTATTAATTTATTAGTATTTGATTCCGCAAAGCATCATAAATTTATTTGGTTATATCAATTATGTGCATTTTGTGGCCTTTGGGGCTTTACTAGTGATGTACTATTTATTTTTAATATATGGGCCTCTCATTACTTTATGAAAACCAGATCATTCCATACATTATTATTATATTATTATTTATTTATATTTATTATTGTTGTGGGAAATGAAAGTATATCCGAGTATTGATT